TGAAGGAGTAAATGGAGACGTCACTTATCAATTTGGCCACGTGTCTGAGGAGGATATGAATTTATTTTCAATCGATCCCAAATCGGGAGAAATCAAACTAATTGGGGAGCTTGACTATGAAGAAAGAAATAATTTTGAAATCAAAGTGAAAGCTAAAGATGGATTAGGACTAAACTCTTATGCTAAAGTGTTATTGGATGTTAAGGATGTAAATGATAATGCACCAGAAATTTACCTGAAATCTCTGTCCAACCCTGTACCTGAAAACATATCCCCCGGTACAGAAGTGGGGATCATTAATGTTCAGGACAGAGATTCTGAGAAAAATGGACAGGTTCGCTGTTCCATCCAGCAAAATGTTCCATTTAAGTTGGTTCCCTCTATTAAAAACTATTACATTTTGGTGACCACAGCGCAACTGGACCGCGAATTATCGACTGACTACAATATTACAATCACTGCCACTGATGATGGCTCTCCACCTCTGTCCTCCTCTAAAACTGTTCAGTTATCTGTAGCTGATATTAATGATAACCCACCTGTATTTCAGGAACAGTCCTACAGCGCATATATTAATGAAAACAACAAACCTGGCTCCACTTTATGCTCCGTTTCTGCATATGACCCAGACTGGAGACAAAACGGTACAGTGATTTATTCTCTGTTACCTGCTGAGGTGAACGGTGCCTCAGTGTCCTCTTATCTATCTGTTATTGGAGACACAGGGGTGATCCATGCTGTGAGGTCATTTGATTATGAACAGTTCAGGAATTTTAAAGTTTACGTCATGGCCAGAGACAATGGTTCTCCTCCACTCAGCAGCAACGTGACCATCAGTGTGTTTATATCGGATGTGAATGACAACTCTCCTCAGATTCTCTATCCCACCTTGGAGGGCAGCTCCTTCATGACTGAGCTGGTCCCTAAAGCTGCACATGGAGGCTCTCTAGTGTCCAAAGTCATAGCAGTGGATGCTGACTCCGGACAGAATGCTTGGCTGTCCTATCATATAGTCAAAGCTACTGATCCTGGACTTTTCACCATTGATCTGCACAGTGGAGAGATCAGGACACAGCGGGACATTTTAGAATCGGACAACATGAAACAGAACCTGATTGTTGCAGTGAAAGATAACGGACAGCCCTCTCTGTCTGCCACCTGTTCCATGTATTTACTTATTTCTGATAACTTGGCTGAGGTGCCAGAACTAAAGGATATGTCCTATGATGAAAAGAACTCCAAACTGACCTCATATCTAATCATCGCGCTGGTTTCTGTGTCCACCTTCTTTCTGACCTTCATTATTATCATCCTGGGTGTGAGGTTTTGTCGCAGAAGAAAGCCCAGACTGTTGTTTGATGGAGCAGTTGCCATTCCTGGAGGTTATCTTCCACCAAACTACTCAGATGTTGATGGTACGGGAACTTTACGCAGCGCTTACAATTATGATACCTACCTGACAACAGGATCTAGAACGAGTGACTTCAAGTTTGTATCATCTTACAATGATAACACGCTGCCTGCTGACCAGACTCTAAAGAAAGGCTCAACAGAGTTTGCTGATGTTTTTAATGGACTAGAAACACTTCAAGAGGTAAGAGAGCACAATGCACGTGTAAATTACCGTATTTTGGTATAAGTAAAAAAAAATTTTATTTTCTTTGTTTACTTATTTGATAAATATAATATTTAATTTTATAATTTGTTTTAATGTATGTCATGTCACGTAGTTTGAGTAGATCCATTCACGACAAACATTGGTTGGAATAGTTGAAAGTTGATCTTGACAACTTACATAATAACCTATAGCATTTTAGTTCCATGGCCAATTAAAAAATACTTTTATGTGTTATTTTAAAGACAAATGTTATGCTTTCATATGTATCTCAAAAGTAGAGCATCTCAGTTTTTTTTTTTCATTTTTATAAAATTATCTTTTAAATTTTAAATTATATTGGTTAACTAAAGAATATAACAAAGTTTGTGTTTAACATGATTTTTAGTCATATGATTTTTCTAAACGCTTGTTCTTGGTTCTAAAAAAATACCACAGGGTGTTGGGTTACGGTTTTCATTTTTAATCAGTAAATGTGTCTTAGAAGGTGTTGAAGCTAACCTTTACACTTGTAATACTCTTTAATACCATTAAGCATTTGCAAATAAGCAGTGGCGTGCACAGACATTTTGGGGTTTAGGTGCTCGAGTAGAAAAAAGGGCACTTTGTTTGGCACATATCATTGCTAATTGTCCTGGTAGTTTGAGTCCTGCACAGTTTCAACATCATGTATGTATACCCATTTCAAATGAATACTCATATTCTGTCAGATTCATGTTTTTAATAATGTTGAACACTCTACGGGTTGGCTTTATGATAAAATTGGTAACAACAGAACACAGTATTATTAAACATTTGTGTCTATAAAATAATCAACCATCTCAAATATAAAAAAAAATATATATAAAAAAACTTGAAATGAAATTGACCACATACTTGATTTAGATAGTCGTTTGCTCAGAATCTTGTGTTATCATTTTCTTTTTCCTGCTTTAGAGGAGTAATCTCTTTGGTGCCATGTCTTTGAATATAATGACCTTGTTATGTTTGATCTGAATTTCTCTCTCAGTTGCAAGCCGTAGGCGGTCAGAAACCTGTTTTTCTCCATGCAGGCTTCTTACTCTGTTTTTAATAACTTTCTGCTTGAAAAAGATCTCTCCTCAGAAGCCATTGTACCTCGCAGTGTTTTATGGATTTGTATCCTCTTCACAAAGGTTGGAAATATGAACCAGTCCCTAATTTTCCTCAGTATGGCAAAGATTTTTCTGAGGACTTTTGAAGGATAGCTGGAGTGGAAGACTTGTAGTTCGGTTTTCAGCTGGTCCTCATCCTCTTCATAGAAGTCACAGAGGATGCGTGCACCTTCATTTGCTTCTGTGTTTGGGTTATTTATCCAGTTGGAATACACTGTTAATTAGTGAAAGGACTGAGTGACTTTGTCATGGAACATCCAAGTTTGTCCTCTTTGAACCTCCTGTTGAGCTCCTCAGTCATAGTATATACATGAGTATAGTACCCAGCACTCCAAAAGTATGCCTCCACAGTCTCAAAC